AAAGACAGATGGAACACAACAGAGTATCCAGAGATAAACCCATACACATATACTCAATTGACTTTCATCTAAGGTATCAAGTCAATTCAATGGGAAAAGGAAGTCTTTTAAACAAATGGTGCTAGAACAACTAGATAAACTACTCTGTGTTTTCCCATGACTCTGACATTAACAACCTGGATACAGCATTAGATCCCACAGGTTAATTAAGGGCTCAGTCCCACTAGACTACTCCCACTTCAGATACCAATCACAAGTTCAGGTTACCTGTACATCTGGACTGACCAGCTATAAATCAGAGGTTTCCATGACCCCTTCCTTCAGGTTTGATTAATTTGCTAGAGTGGCTCACAGAACTCAGACAAACATTTACTTATGTTTACTAGTTTATCATAATGCGTATTAGAAAGGATACAGATAAATAGCCAGATGAAGAAATACAAAGGGAAAGGTCCAAAAAGGCCCTTAGCATAGGAGTTTCTGTCCCTACGAAACTAGGTTTCCACAACCCACCAGGATGTGGATACACTCACCAACCCAGAAGCTCATCAAGAGTTTTCACAGAGCTTAATCTGCACCCCACCCTCCTTCCCCTTCCCAGAGGTCAGTGGGTGGGGCTGAAAGTCCTAACCCTCTAAACAATTGGTCTTTCTGGTGATCAGCCCCATCCTGAGACTATCCAGAGACCCTACCCTAAGTCACCTTACTAACATGAACTCAGGTGTGCTCAAAAAGGGGCTCCTCATGGGTTACAAAAGATACTCCTATCGTCAGAAAATTCCAAGGGTCTTAGGAGCTTTGTGCCAGGACCCAGGGACAAAGAACAAATATATTTGCTATTATACCACAACTATGAAAAAATATAAACCCTTATCTCACTTCCCACACAAAATTTAAATCATGATGTGCAAGCCAAAGCTATAAACCTTTGAGAAAAAATATATAAGCACATCTTTATAACCTTGGGGTAGATAGGCAAAGATTTCTTAGGACACAAAAAGCATTCAGCATTAAAAAAAATTTTTTTTTTGATAAATTGGGATTTCATGAAAATTTAAAACATCAGTTAATCAAAAGCAAGCCACAGACTGGGAGAAATATTCCCAATACATATATCTGACAATGGACTCACAGCCAGAATATATTAAAACTCCTGCAACTCAATTACAAGAAAACTGAGCCAATAAAAAAAATGAGTAAAAGACTTGAACAGACACTTCATAAAGGAAGATACAATGATATCTAATATGCACATGAAAAGGGGCTAAACATCATTAATCATCAGGGAAGCATGAACTAAAACAGTAAGAAGGTACCATTTTATACCTACTAGTGAAGAGACTGGCAACACCAAATATTGACAAGATGTGAAGCAACCGAAACTCTTAGGAAACTTGTACCAGTATTTATAGAAGCATTATTCATAATAGCCAAAAACTGGTGTCTACCCAAATGTCCATCAACAGAAGAACAAACAGTATTTGATTATATTCATGTGATGGAATACTATTCAACAATAAAAAGGACTCAACTACTGATATAGGCAACAACAGGATGATGTTCAAAAGCATTAGGCTAAAAGAAAGAAACCAGATAGAAAAGGCTATACAGTCTGTAGGGTTCCATTTATATGAAGTATAAGAACAAAACAGAACTCATTTATGACACTAGAAATCACAACTGTGATGGCCTAAGAGTGGGGGAGTGAATAGAAGGAAGCCCAGGGAAATGTTGTAGGGGGATGGAAATGTTCACTATCTTGATTGAGGTGTGATTATACAGGTATATACATTTATCAAAAATTACTGAACCATACATGTAAGATCTCTGCATCCCATAGTAAGTATAACTTTAACTCAATAAAATACCATAAGAGGGGCGCCTGGGTGGCTCAGTCGTTATGCGTCTGCCTTCGGCTCAGGTCATGATCCCAAGGTCCTGGGATAGAGCCCTGCATCAGGCTCCCTGCTCCACGGGAAGCCTGCTTCTCCCTCTCCCACTCCCCCAGTTTGTGTTGCCTCTCTCGCTGTCTCTCTCTGTCACATAAATAAATAAAACCTTAAAAATAAAAAATAAAATAAAATAAAATATCATAAGAGGGTGCCTGGTAGCTCAGTCATTAGGCGTCTGCCTTTGGCTCAGGTCATGATCCCAGCATCCTGGGATCGAGCCCCACATCGGGCTCACTGCTTGTGGGGGACCTGCTACTCCCTCTCCTACTCCTCCTACTTGTGCTCCCGCTCTCAACTGTCTCTCTCTCTGTCAAATAAATAAATAAAATCTTAAAAAAATATATATATCATAAGAGACAGGGGGGAAAAGAACTTTAAACCAGACTTTCAGTTCAGATGACGGACAGACCACAAGTATTTATCTTCTCCCCCCAAAAAGAGCAACTAGGAAGAGACATGAAAGAAACTTCTGGAACATTAGTATTCTATAGGAAGAGACATGAAAGAAACTTCTGGAACACTAGCATTCTATTTATCATGTCCTAAAAAATTATATAGGTATTTTCATTTTGGGATTATCCATCTATCTGTACACTTATGATTTGTACACTGTACAGTCATATATATATACATATATATAAAATTCAATTTTTTTCATCAGCCAATGAATCAGGTAGCCTCCACAATCCACTGCTGTACAGAGCATCTATCCAGCTACTAAATTTTCACAAAGGGTATTAAACTTAACAAAAACTGGTCTGCTTTCTAAAGCAATAGCCGTTGACATGATCAGTACAGGTCACAGCATAGTCCAAAAATATCAGCTTTTCAGCTCCAATTAAAATGCACAAATGATAATGGTAACTTTTCAAAAGACTATAAGGTAAATATGAAGTCTAATGTCCTAATATCTTAGAGGTCTTAGAGGATACCTAGAGTATCCCAATAAGTTATGGAGCCATTTTCTCCCCCCATCTTTCATCCTGATATTTTATAGCATGTTTGCTAAAAATGTACTGTCAGCACTTAACAAAGTAAACTGACTTTTATATGATTTGTGTGTCAGAGAGCCAAATCTCCAAATCTCCACTAGTTCCTCAGCCAGACTATCAAATTCCATAAATATTTTTTAAACTTAGCATCTGATGAATGCTGAGAAGAACATGAATAATGTCAGATGCTGAAGTGATGAGAGTGTAGCTGAATTGAGAAATCAAAAATGTGTAATGCCAGCAATTAACACAAGTATTCTATATTCTCTGACAGTATTCAGCAGTAGATAAAAGAGGCAGGGTTACGGTGGGATATTGACTGAGAATATGGAATGGGATCCTGCCCCTCTCTCTTCCCCAATTCCTCACAGAATGAAAAAACAATGTATTCTGGTTCCTTCAGACTTGATCTTTCACCTCTGGTCTCACAAAATTTTCTTCATTTACAAAAGCAGCTACTAAATCTAAGTTTGAATTTCAGGTGCAATTTTTTGCAGCCTAATTAATTTGCATTGTCGGGTTTACTCTCACTTCTCCCATGGGACATTCCCTTTGCCCCTCTCCTGAGGGTATATGCACACTGGGTCTCTTCTCTTCCATATTCAGGGGTTCCTTTGCAGAGATGTTTTCATCAGCTGTTGCAATCTGAGGCTTAAATGTAACTTAATACTCAAAAAGGACACTTAAAGGCAGTATCCTGCATCCCTCAGAGGGGAGCACCAACACTTAGCTAAATCTCTGTGTCTCTTATCACTGACTTGGGTTTCTAAGTCTCTGATCACTGTGGAAAGCAGAAGTATTTCCATCTTCTTGTGGCCATCCATAAGGCTTAGGAGAAAATCTGAATCAGTTCGTGTTGAGAATTACAACACTAACAGAGGAGGGGGAAAATGAGTACTTAAAATACTCTGATGACAAAATCAGAATTCTCCTTTTGGTGTTTCTAAATTTCTATTGACTCTAAATATAAACAGAATAAAGACTGTTTTAGAATTTCCTTTAAAAAAAAAAAGGCTGGGTTAATCCACACAAATAAAGAGTAAAGATCAAAGTCACAAAGGAATTGGTAAAGAAGGGGTATTGTTGGGAGTATAACTGAAATAGCTAACTATGAGATCTGAGTATAAAAGGGGAGGAAATGCAGCTGAGAGGCTTGAATGCACTAGGAAAGCAGGTGGATTCTGGGACCAGAGATCAAAGAGCACATTTATTAGAACTCAAGCAGAAGGAAGACAAGATGTGACAATGAAAAAAAGAAGAGTTTCAGAGTTCAAGACATATTTCATCTACCAACTCCTGCAAATAGAAATGAATATAGAAATATCTATGATTAGAATTATCAACCTGTGGCATGATGCCTGACCCAAAGTGAAATCTGAATACATAAGGGGTAATTGCTGTAAATGGTGGAGAAAATCCAAATTATTTATGGTATTTACCTAGGACATAATTAACTGTAAATTCACAGCTCCTAGAAAAAAATTAAAATTATTTCTATAAATAACATATAGCTCATCTGATATTTTTAGATTATCCAATCAACTGTCCTCATCCTCAAGGATAAATTTAAGTTGATTGGACAGATATTACATACATAAATATAGAGCCAGATGTACTCAAAATAAAATAAAATTTCATTTTGTTCTAGAGCAATTTTAAAACGAGCATGATTTATGTAATTTTTTTATATATCCAAGAACTTCTACACTGCCCTTACAATTCAATATTGGCCATAATGAGATTAACCATAAATTTAAAGAAGGCAGATTACTTATAAAATAGATTTCTTCATCTCACTACAGACTCAACAAAGCAAAAGAACAATATAAAATAAGACATTAGGATTTTTAGTACTCGTAAGCAATGGGGAAGATTAAATCACAGACCAGTGAAATTGGTCTTGGCACCACAGAACTCATTATACATTCAGTCTATCAGCTGGATTCTTTTACAAAACATCTCAAACCTGACTGCAAATTTTAACAACTCTCCAATCAGCAAATGCATTAACCACAGTGTGCCAATAATAAAATGGTACTCAATGCAATTTTCTTACCTGCCTCAACAGTTTTTCAATAGCTGACATTACCATAAGGCCTCTCCAAACAACTGGTGCAGTCTCTTCAACCAGGAAGCCCATAGACATACTGCAACAGTAAACCAAAAATAAAACTAATTTACATACATTAATCAATATTATTCTGAAAAGTCACATAAAGTAAAAAAGATATACTTACCAAGCAATACCATAATTCAAAAGAGGCCTCATTAGGTTGCCTGAAATTTAAAAAACAAAAAAAAAACTTTTAGAATATATAAACATACATATTTTCTTATCAAAAAGTGTCAAATTAACCAAAAACAAATGTCAAATTAAAAATACAAATGGCTGGGGCCCCTGGGTGGCTCAGTTGTTAAGCATCTGCCTTCGGCTCAGGTCATGATCCTGCGGTCCTGGGATCGAGCCCCACATCGGGCTCCCTGCTCTGTGGGAAGCCTGCTTCTCCCTCTCCCCACTCCCCCTGCCTGTATTCCCTCTCTCGCTGTGTCTCTCTCTGTCAAATAAATAAATAAAATCTTAAAAAAAAAAAAAAAGAAACACAAATGGCTACTCATACTGCTGCTCTTTACCTTTCAACTGATTTACCTCAATCTGCGACAGTTTAAACATTATACCAAGCATACAACCAATACTTCCCATAGGCGCACATCTATTAATAGCTGGAATATAGTTTTATTAAGAAACAATCCATCTAGGGGTATCTGGGTGACTCAGTTGGTTAACCATCTGCCTTTGGCTGAGGTCATGATCCCAGGGTCCTGGGATCAAACCCCGTGTCAGACTCCCTGTTAAGCAGGAAGCCTGCTTCTCCGTCTCCCTCTGCTGCTCCCCCCCACTGCTCATGCTCCTCTTGCTATCTCCCTCTCTCTCAAATAAAATCTTAAAAAAAAAAAGCAACAATCCATCTATAATTTTCAAGTCTCTCTAAAAAATAGCCTCATTAAGTAAATTTATCCACCCATTTTATTGATACATAGATATATAAATTACATACTTAGGTTTATCTAGTATGCATATACATGACAAGTACACATACTTGCACACATGCATCTAGTAAGTTCTCTGTATTTCTTTTTCCTTACTTGAAGAATTTGTAAAGTATAAAAAACCTAAGAGTAGAAAAACTCGATTTTGTATCTCAACATAATAAAAGCAATATATGAAAAACCCACAGCAAACATCATACTCAATGGTAAAAGACTGAATGTTTTTCCTCTAAGATCAGTAACAAGACAAGGATGCCCACCTCTTTTACTCAGCATAATACCAAAAAAGCCAGAGCAATTAGACAAGAAAAATAAATGAACAGCATCAAAAGTGGAAAGGAAGAAGTCAAGTTTTCTCTTTTCACAGATGATATGATCTTATGACAACCCTTAAGATTCCACAAAAAACTATTAGAGCTAATAAATGAACTCAGCAAAGTAGGAGGATACAAAGTCAACACATAAAAATCCACTGCATCTCTATACACAAACAATCATCTGAGAAGAAGATTACGAAAACATTCCCACTTATAACAGCATCAAAAAGATTTAAATACTTAGGAATTAACATCACCAATGAGGTGAAGGACTTGTACAATGAAAACCTCCAAACATTGCTGAAAAAATCAAAGACAACATAATAAAAGGAAACGCATATCATGTTCATTGACTGGAAGACTTAATATTGTCAGTACTGCCCAAAGCAATCTACTGATGCAATGCAACCTCATCAAAATTCCAGTGACATTTTTTGCAGAAACAAAAAAATCCATCCTAAAATTCATATGGAATCTGAAGGAATCCCAAATAGGCAAATCAATCTAGAAAAGAAGAACAAAGCTGGAGGATTCACACCTCCTGATTTCAAAATTTATTACAAAGCTACAGTAAGCAAATCAGTGAGATACCGGCATGAAGACAGTTAAAAAGACCAATGGAATAGAATAGAGAGCCTAGAAATAAAACCATCACATATCCAGTCAAATGGTTTTTGATGGGAAGCCAAGATCATTCGATGGGGAAAGGACAGTCTTTTCAACAACTGGTGCTGAGAAAACTGGATATCCACATGCAAAAGAATGAATTTAGACCCTTACATATATAAAAATTAAGTCAAAATTGATCAAAGACCTAAATGTAAGAGCTAAAACTACAAGATTCTTAGAAGAAAACATAGAGCAAAAGCCTCATGCCATTGGATTTAGCAATGATTTCTTGGGTATGATATCAAAAGCAAAGGCAGCAAAAGTAATAGACAAACTGGACTTAATGCGAAAAAAATTTTTTTTTAATTTTTTTTAAATTTATTTATTTGTCAGAATGAGAGAGAGAGAGAAAGCACAAGCAGGGGGAGCAGCAAGCAGAGGGAAAAGCAGGCTACCTGGTGAGCAAGGAGCCCGATGCGGGACTCGATCCCAGGGCTTTGGAATCATGATTCCTGGGATTATGACACGAGCTGAAGGCAGACGCTTAACCGAGTCACCAAGGCATCCCTGGACTTAATGAAAAATTTTAAATGTTGTGCATCAAAGACAATATCAATAAGTAAAAAAGCAAGCCACAAAATGAGAGAAAACATCTGTAAATCATATATCTTATAAGGAATTCATATCCAGAACATAATTAAATCTTAAAACTCAACAACAACAGTAAGCAGGTCTTCACCAGATACCAGAGCTGCTAGCACCTTGATCTTGAACTTTCCAGCCTCCAAAAATGTGAGAAATAAATGTTTGTGGTTTAAGCCACCTAGCCTAGGGTAAATTTGGTATAGCAGCCCGAACAAACTAAGACACTGGGACAGTCCAAAGCCTTTTCACAAAATTGGAAACCAAAATCTCTAATACCATACATGAATAATCTTTAATCTACTTTATCAGTATGCTAAATCCGAATCCAGGGAAAATGTGTACTTTAAATACCTCTTGCAGTTTAGTGAATAATAAGTTGTAAACTGAAGCCAGAAATGTGAGGAGATTCATGTTATATGCATTTCTTCAGAATTCAACAGGGAAAAATGTACACTGAGAGTCCTAAACATGTACAGCATATACATTAAAAAGAACATTAGAGGCACATTCTTCTTTATCTTCTCCAGCATATTAGTAAACAAAATTAATAATGCCTAAAAGCATTTTACCTTAATTAGTAAAATTATCAGAACTGAATGATGGCACAGACTGAAACCATACTTTTAAATTAGTAGAGAAAAACTCTGAACAACAACTCATGATTACAGGTACAAATTAGTTTATTTGCCCTTAAATTTTATTTTTAAAAAAATGTGTACAGCAATTTCTACACATAAACTTAGTAGAAAAACTAACAAAGTACTAGTGGTTGAAAGTTTACATTGAAACTTTGGAATCCACTGTCCTGTAACAGCTTTTTGAAGAGACCACCATTAGCTGAAGTTATCATGATACAGATCATTATTTCCTACTTCCTCCTATCTTCTTGATAGCTCATATATAGAAGCACAAAAGATTCTTACTCCAAGTCAAACCATTTCAATTGCCATAATGCCATTCACAGAATGAATGACACTATGCCTCATCCTCCTCACTCTATTACAACAAAGTTCTATCATTGCTAACAGGTGTGAATTTAATTAATGGACTGTATGTCACCGGTAGATTTCAAACAGATTTAGGGACTACTTTTATATCATAAATTAATTGTCAAGCTAGAAAAGACATTGTGATCACGTCAAACTGAAGAGCTAGGCAAAAAGGAAATAGGCGTAAGAAAGGCTGCTTTAAATCTTCCTATTAAAGTTCCAATTGTTAAATGTTCCAAGGATAGCTCTCATCTAGAATCAGATTTTTTGTAGGAATCCCACTGTTCATGAATCACCTAAATAGTAGACATTCCCACTTAACTTGGTATTAGCAATAAGCCTGAAAAATCTCTGTACCTTCTACTCTGTTCCCTGGTTCCAAAAATAAGAGTTTTAAATACAGCTGAACACCAAGGTTCAGGAATATATGTTTAAAAAGATTATAAGTTGAAATCACACAATAGAAGCATTAAATCCTTTTTTAAATGAGGACAGAGAATATGTACCCTCATTTCATGAATTTTAAAGAATACTTAAACACAAAGTAGATAAAGAAAATAGTCTTATAAAAACAATCTTTTATCCACATATTCATGACAAGACATTCAAAGGTACAAAAACCTTCAGAAAGTAGGAAATGACACCCAGTACAAAGTTTACAATTTCACTTTCTCACCATCTACTTTCCTATTCCTTCTTTTCTTTCTAAAACCAAGATCCTTTCTCATGAGAAATCAGATTCAAGAAAGAAGTTGCATCCTATTCTTTCAGGAGAACTTCAAGTGGCTGGGTTTGACAAAGTAGTTCCACCAAGTTAGTAACCAGAGAAGGTTTAGAATACCCTAACTTTTTACTGGAAGAAAAGGATTTAGAGAGTAGATGGAATGGATCAAAACTCAAATGCCAACCTGGATAACCTAAAGGCAGTATAATAATATTGCATCCAGAAGTAGAAAGGAAGGGGATCTAGAACATTAGAGAAGAGAGTAGAAAGACTATAAAGAAAATTCTTCAGTGTTTTTCCAATTTTACACCTATCACTTTTAATATTAAAATTTCTTTTATCGGGACACCTGGGTGGCTCAGTCAGTTAAACAACCAGCTCTAGGTTTCGGCTCAGGTCATGATATCAGGATCCTGGGATTGAGCCCTGTGTTGGGCTACATGCTCAGTGAGGAGTCTGCTTGAAGATTCTTTCCCTCTTCCTCTGCCCCTCCCCCATTCTCTCTCTCTAAAATAAATAAATATTTTTAAAATTTTTCATTATGGATAAAGAAAATGTGGTATATATATGTATACAATGGAATACTACTACTCAGCCATCAAAAAAATGAAATCTTGCCATTTGCAACAACATAGATTGAACTAGAGGGTACTATGCTAAGCGAAATAAGTCAATCAGAGAAAGACAATTATCATATCATCTCATTGATATGTGGAATTTAAGAAACAAAAAAGAGGATCATAGGGGAAGAGAGGAAAAAATAAAACAAGATGAAATCAGAGGAGACAAACCGTAAGAGACTCTTAATCATAGGAAACAAACTGAGGGTTGCTGGAGGGGACGGGGTGGGGGATGGGGTAACTGGGTGATGGACATTAAGGAGGGCACCCGATGTAATGAGCACTTGGTATTATATAAGACTGATGAGGGAGGACTGAGTTTCTC